ATTAACTTTTTCTAGTGACTAAACATGTCCCGATTTAGTAATCTCAGTGACCAAATGTGTCTTTAAGTCGCCAGTCTTAACCCAAAAGATTCTAGACTTTTGCTTGTAAATAGCCTCCTCTTCCTTAAGAAGAAACCATGAAATTGAATAACCATTATGTGAAGAAAAAGGCCAAGACTGGCAATAAGGGAAGATTTGCAAGTTCTAATGCAAATATGTTTTTTTGGTAATGTTGCTTCTTTTCTTTCCGCCTTATCATAATGGTGGGATAAATGCTACATTTGGTCACTGAGATTACTAAATTGTGTCATGTTTAGTCACTAAAAAAATTTAATATCAATTTTGATCACTCGAATTACTAGAACAGGTCACATTAAGTCACTCAAAAAAAATTATTAAGAATAAAATTATAAATTCAACCTTTGATTAGTACATCCTCCATACACAAATTCGATATTAAATCTAACAAACAAAAAAGCACTTGATAAAATACGACACAAATTCAATCTACAGTATCATTTATAGCCCAAACTTAAAACTGCCTACCCAATTCAAAAATTCCTGGCGTTAGAGTGATTTTCGGCTGCTAAGGTGGCTGCCCAAGGCGCGGATAAAACAAAATCATGTGGGCCGGTTTTCACTTTCCATTCCTTGGCCCATATTCTCTTCCTTGTGGGTTGTGTCGTCGTCACTCGTTTCGTCATTCTCCTTTCAACTTTCATTTCATCAATCAGGCAACCGGCAGTTACGGCCAACGGTGATTTTCGACAGTTCCGTTTTTGCACGTCGGTCAAATCTGGTGTCCAAGCTGAATTGTGCCCTCGTAGGACTGGGCAGTGTCACTTTCCTCTTCAGTGTTATTGTCGGGACGGAGTTTGGTGTGGACGGCCAAGGGTTCAGAGGTGAGCGTTTTCTAATACCTAATTTCTCTATAGCTGTTAAGTCAGTTGCTCCATCACCGGCACCTGGAATCTCACCTTCTGGTGGTTCCCCAACTGTGGTGCCCTTACCTGGCGGCCAAGGGAAGAGGGGAAGTCGTTTCATTAGCAAGGTTTTGATTAGTTGAAAGGGTCAGTTTGGGAATTGGGGTTTTGGTTGGAATTTCGGTTGGAAGTTTGAAGAGTGACTTCAGTTAAGTTTGTGCTTTAATGGTGATGATGCTATAGTGGTCGGTTGTCCTGAAATTGGAGTTTAGCAGTATCAATCTGTTATTTGATTTTGGGGTTCCTTAATCTCAGGTTTTATTGGCTGTTTGGTACAATTACCATGTTTTACTCTTTTACATCTCTTTGGGTTCCTCTGCATGCCAATTGCTGCTATTCTGAGATGGTTTCTGTAGGATCAAGCTAATTGGTAGGTTCGTCAAATTAGTCGTTCAAAGTATCGTCTCATGGATTCTTTGAATGCTAGAGATCGTCAGTTGAACAGTATAGAGATATAATCATCTAACCCTTTTTTTTGCAGAAAACTCTTCGAACTAACCATGTCCTTCAAGCATTTAGCAGTAATATGAAGGCTAATAAAGCTATGGTAGAAAAGAGCCCGAAAAATTGTTTTTGACCCGTGGGTAGAAGTAGAAAATTGCCTAGAGCTCCTTAAGCAAACAAAGATACAGCCAAATGGTATCCACTTACATGAAACAATTATATTTCAGTTGCTATTCAAGGACCTTTTCTGCCAAGAAGAAACTGACGAACCAATTTTTTGTCTACACACATATATACATACTAGGTAATTGCAGAGCTTATGTGTGATGGATCAATCCCCCACCTAACCATGAACAAAACATACAGTAGCGCTACTAGCATCCTCACCCATACATATATCTTATAGTTTTTCCTCTCCTGTTTTGAGTATTCATTTTCTTCTTACTTTGTGACAGTAAAGTCTTGATTCTTCAACATGGAAAATGACGGAATTGTTTTGTGTGGTGGGGGAAGGAAGGAAGGAACTACTCACTACTCAGAGAAGAGAGAACCCTATTAGCAGAAGTTTCTATGGAAGGAAGGAAGGTGGGGAGGGAAGTGAAAGACAACAAAGCTTTGATGTTGCTGTTGTCTTTTTCAAGTTGAGGGAAGGGCAGGAGTAGGACTGTGCAATTGGTATAGCCCCAGAAGAAGGTTTTACTTTCTTTTGCAGGGAAATAGGTACCCAAAATTGATAGAGAGAGTAGGGAAACAGTACCAAGTACTTCATTAGCCAGTTTAAGACTATATAGTATTAAATTTTTCAAAATATTTGAAATGTGTAGTTTTGGTGAGAAATCTATGTGTCTCATCTCCTGCAGTGCAAGAGAACTGAGGAGGAGGCTGGATTTGAGGTGAGTGATAGTAGAAGAAGGATTTCAGTGTTATCTAGGTTGGTCTTTTTACTTAGTTCGTATTTCCATTTATCATGTAAATATTTGTTCAATATTCAGTTACTGAACATGATTCGTCGGTTTGGTTAGGGTGACTTTTTTACAGCTTGGTCATAGAAGTAGGGATGGTCTTGATAGGAAGTTTAAGAGTCAGAGTAAGACATTCAAAGATCCGCGATGAAGGGGAACTGCAACGGATATTGGTGAGATCCGAGGCAGAGGGAACTTATTGCGAAGGAGTTTCAACTCTTTAATTCTCAGATGAGTTCCTCTCTTTCTGCTTTCTTTCCCCTATTTAACTTTTCCGTCCATTATTTATGTTTGCAACTGATGGGAACCATCATTTGTAGCAGATTTGTGGAATTGAGAAGCGAGTGGAACAGCAGACCCATGTTGTATCATGGGTTGAAGGCACCGAAGATGGTCAATATGTGAGGCCAATTGTGTGTTCTTTATCTTTTTGTCATCTGTCTAATCTATATGATTATCAAGATTCATGGTTCTAAGCTTTCGTTTCGCCACCAATTGAACTCTGTTTATTTTAGTGCTTGGAATGAGCTCTGTTTGAGGCTTTTGATTATGGTGTATTTTCCCTTGCTCGCTCACTGTAGCTTGCTTTCTGCAGTAGGGTTTCAATTTGTTTGTCTCATTTTATACCAAGCAAGTATATTGTTAATCTATGCATAAGATTGTTCAACGAATCAGTTAGTTTTCCCATTATTTTGTGTTATAGTTGTGAGTCAGATTATTGCTACCGGGTACTCTGCCAAGCTAAAAGAAAGGATGACATATATGATTATCTTTAGACAATTTACGTATTAGTAATATATATGGGAAAGTCTGGCTACAGGCAAGGGATTGATCATCTATTTTTGATGATTCATTTTTCGTTCTTTATAACTTATGAGACACGTCTTAAAATATATTAGAGCAGTTTGATAAAATATTCCCCCACAGACTAAAAAATCATATTGGGTTTTTAATTATTGCCTATTTAAAATTTCAAATCATCTTATAAATTTATGGCCAAAAGAAATAAATTTTATCGTGAAAAAAATAATAATAATGGTTTGGTATTTTTCCAGAGAAATTAAGAGAATCTGACACACACTTGAATGAAAGTGTAACCTATACATTTCCATTTTAATTAAACTTCCATCTATCATTTATATAACTAAATAAATTTCATTTTAATGTTTTTATTGCATATCATTATTTTTATCGGGATGGCAACAGGTTGTGTCGAGATGGATAGTGCATATCCGTTACCCTACCCAAAATAGTTCGGGTTTTGCCCATACCCGTATCCACATAAGAAACGGGTAAAAAAATCAAAACAATGCTCATACCCGTTCGAGTTTCGGGTATCCACGTTTATCCATGGGTAATAATTTCTCTTTATAACTCCAACCAATATGTTAACATTCACACGTATTCTCACATTACATAAGTGGAAAAGTATGACAATAATTCACTAGAATGAAGAAAATTAATTAAAACAACACAATTTCATGAAAATACCATATTTATATGCTAAATATAAAATATTGTTAAGAAAAATTAATGATTATATCTAGACAAAATACATATGCATGTGTGTAATCGGAGGGTTCGGGTTGGATAGTTAGAAATCATGCCCACCTATTACCCGCAATATTCGGATTCGGATTTTACCCTACCCGATTAGGTTGGATTCGGGTGGATATCCGCGGTTGCGGATACTTTTGTCATCCCTACCTCCTCTCGACGAACTGCAATTCCTTCTTTCGCATGGTGTGCATAAGGATGGATGGAGAGTTTTTCCGTTGAATCTTGGGTCCAACATCGTAGTCAGAGGGTGTCTTCAAGAAGAATTGTCTAACCCAACTACATCAGTACTCTTTGGAGCGCCACCATCATTTAAGAAATGTTGGCGAGAAACGATATCGGTAGGATTGATAGTGGGAATGCTTTTGGAAACATTTCTTTCTCATCTTTCTCGACTTGGTGGTATTTTGGCTTAATTTGACACTAGCATTCTAAAAAAAATCTGCTGATTTCAAGTACATCATTGACTATTTCAGGACTTTTGCATGGTTGTTGTTGCTTTTCCAAATTAGCGATGGTTTTGATATTGGATTGGATGATGTTGGGGATTCTTTTCAGGTGATGGTTATGTAAAGAAAGTTAGTAATGCAAAATATTACGAAGAAATAATTTTTAAACAATTTATGTCACCGATAGGAAGTGCAAAATTTCTTATGAAATAGAAATAAAAATATAAGCATTATTAATCTAAGGATATCCTGATCAACACAAATATATACAACTAATTATCATTAATGTCACAATCGACAAGTAGCACGAAAAAATATTTTAAATTGACAATAAATTATTTAAAAAATTCCAAATTATCTCAAATATGAACAAATTAATTAAATCAAATACTATAAAAGAAATAAAGCAAAATTCATCCGACCAACGGGTCGGGTAAACGCTAGTATAACAAAATCCTAAGTAAACTTTCATTTAAAATTGACAATTTTACCCAAATCCTTATTTTTTAAAAATCGTACAAACAGACTTATTAGGTTGGGAGAAGGATTTACTTCCCGTTCCCGTGGAGGCATCGCAATTTTAAATTTAATTTTTTGACAATAAACAAGCAGGCAGGAATTCGGTTTGTGAAATTTTAGGGTCGGATACTGGCCACTCGCAGGAAGGGAGGATAGGGACTAGGGAGGATTTACCGGTGACCTGAGTCGGAGAAGCAGTCGACTCCGGTTACGTAAATTTTGCAGCAGATGGCTAGTGAGATAAACAATGAGGAGACTGTTGTCTCAGATCCTCAGCCGTCGATCGAGCGATGTGAGGCACAGGACGGGAAGACCACTGACGTGCTCGAGAAGGGATTAATGGAACACGGGTGAGTCCATTCTTCGTTCGACGCGCAACCTGTTAATGCAGCTTCTGGAGCTTCCTTCTTAATACTGCTGCTCTTACTTCTCGCTCTCGGCAGGTGCTCGCACTATCGACGAAGGTGTAGCGTTAGAGCCCCTTGTTGCAATGAGGTGTTTAGTTGTCGTCATTGTCATAATGAAGCGAAGGTTAGTGGATTTGAATCAGCCTGTGGAGTGTGGATTGAGATGTCAATTCTCTCCGTGATCTTGTTGGAAGTTTACTTTTGGCCTTACAATTGTTCGCTATCAGTCTGCATCATGGCATACTTCTTGTTTCTGTTAGTTGCAGTGGTACACAGGAATGTAATGGGTTCCCTAAATTCATTACTGAATATAGTTTTCTCTTGCAGAACGACATCAAAGTCGATCAGAAACTGAGGCATGACATGCCACGGCATGAAGTTAGACAGGTATAAGACTTGAGAGATTTTGGTTCATTAACTATTTGGGGTGCATTCTCTTACTGGAAAAACCTTCCAGTGAAGATTCTGTACTTGGTATCCATTTTAATCTGATGGCACTGGCTCCGTTTTTTAGGTGGTGTGCTCGCTTTGTGCCACAGAGCAGGAGGTATGCCAACTTGGTTAACTCGTTATCTTCCCATCGGCAGTATTCTTATTTCATTGTTAACTGTTGTTGACTTGACAATAAACCTAGAGGATATAGTGTTCATGAATGAGGGATAAATAATGGGAAGTTTAAAATACTGCCTGCTAATCAACATTTCGTGTATACATTGGCACAAAGCTTTAGATCTTGGGTGGACTATATATCTTTTCATCCGCTGGGCCAACTGTGTATCATACTAGTTGACTTAAAATGGAACAATGTAAACCAGTGGTTAGGCAGTTAAGGTAACTTTGACTGTATTGTATACTCCTCTCTTAACTATGTCACACGCGCACCATGTAATTTGTCTGTTATTCGATGTCATGAACAGGTTCAACAAGTTTGCAGGAATTGTGGTGTGTGCATGGGGAAGTACTATTGCGAAACCTGCAAGTTCTTTGATGATGATGTAAGCGATGAATCTTGAATGTGGATTTGTTTTTTCATATATTAGGAAGTGTCGATCAGCGATGCAGCTTGCATATCTGAGCTATAGCTATTATATTATTATGTAGTAGTATCCACACTGGTTATCAGCTTTTCTGCATTTTGGTGTGCCTCATGGTGCATCCACACTGACTGGAGATCTTCTTTGAATGTCCATCAACGTTGTTGAGCAGATATCAAGAGGGCAATTTCATTGTGATGCCTGTGGGATATGCAGGTATGCTTTCTTTTTTCTCTGCAATCTTCACTAAACTAGTGGAGGCAGAACAACTTTGATTTTAGCCGACATCTCAAGTGTAGTTTATGGTGTGGATCGCCCTTGAAATTAAGGGTTACAATCTGGGTATGGAGTCTGGACCTGGTTACACTGCAAGTAACTTGTTTGGTAGTAGGAACACTGTGTGCTCTCTGTTTCACAGGTAGTAATGCCAATGGCTGATTGCCAGTTGTCATGGCTTTAACGCCCATGCTAGATTCTCTAGCCAGAATGAAAGACTCAATCCTATAAATCTCCAGGATCCCAGCAGCAAGGCTTTGTTTAATCACAGTTCATAATATTCGCCATTTCCATGCCCTCCCATAGTTCTACTATCAGGTCATCTGGATGGGTGCACCATAATGCAACTAAACAAATCCGTCATTTTTGTTGTTGACGCTTTAGACAATCTCAAATATATTGGGGTAGGGTGCTTATGGGAAAAGTAGGCCTCACATGCTTATTTTTCACTTCACAACACAATTTCCTAACAAATGCACTGAATGAAACTGTATGTGTTTGCTTATATATCTTACATAATAGCATACAAAATAAGTAACATAAGATAAGCCGAGCCAAACAATGTTGTTTGTGTGTGCTCACTCATTGTTTGTGATGTGCTTTCTCAATGCTACATTCTTACTTGCTCTCAAATTGGGAATGTTCTGGCAGAATTGGAGGACGTGAAAACTTTTTCCACTGCAAAAACTGTGGTAAGCTTACTTCCCATTGCGACATCTGGTAATCTTAATGAATTTGGATCAAAATCTTTAGCTGACACCTAATCATCTTTCGGTGCACTGCAAAAGGCTCCTGCTACCCTATCTCTATTAAGAAAAGTCACACCTGTGTGGAGGGCTCAATGCGTCATGATTGCCCTGTGTGCTTTGAGGTATGGAATGTTTCCAAGTCTTTCCCACTCTCTTTTTCCCTCATTCATTAAGATTTTCTTCACAAAGCCTTGTATAATGTTCCACCTCATTTTGCAGTACCTATTCGAGTCTAGACGGGTTACAACTGTACTACCCTGTGGGCACACCATTCACCAAGGCTGCTTGAGCGAGATGCTGCAACATAATCAGTTGAGCATCACTTGGCCTTATAGATGTTCCAAGTGATTGTATCTTTTGCTTCACTTCAATCCATATAATCGTGCTTTTGAATGCAGGTATGCTTGCCCGCTATGTTCAAAGTCGGTATGTGACATGTCAGCGACGTGGGAGGCACTCGACGTTGAAATTGCCGCTACCCCAATGCCAGAACCATACAGGGGCAAAATGGTTTGTTTCAGAACTCTGTAGTCCTCTCGCCTGGTCTCTCTCTCACACCCTGATGTCCACCTCTCGCAGTAACCGTTATTTATTTACTTTTGGCAGGTTTGGATACTCTGCAACGATTGCAGCAAAACCTCACAAGTACAGTTCCATATCGTTGGTCATAAGTGCTCCCATTGCAAGTCCTACAACACTCGCCAAACAAAAAACTGAAAGAAGTGAAAGCTGGCTGGTGATATATCTTCCTTCCTGCAGTAATTTCACCGGACCCGAGCCATGATCTCGCTAGAAGGAGAGGGAGCTCCATTTGCATTCCGACAGGTCTTCTGTTTGTTGTTTTTCTCTACTCTGTTGTTGACGACAAAAAGTGGTTCGTGTATTCATATAGATATTGTTGTCTTGTCCCTACGAGGGAGGCCTCAATGTTATGAACTTATGATTGCAAATTGTATATGGTTGCAAGTGTAATGTTGTGGCAGTTGTAGTTCATATCTAGATTCTAGGGTGGCTTTTTTTAGTATATGTTTTCGTTTTGGCTAAAAACACATCTCCATCTACAAAGTTTGGCCGAAAGTTTGAATGGTAACATCACCGTGGGTACCAAACGAATCCAAATTGATTATGTCGGAAAAAATCCAACCGATATTATCTTTGGGTTAGTTTTTTCCGAACGCAATAAAGAGGGTAATGAGTTTGGTGAGGTATTTGCATTGAATTCACTTAAATATGTACTAGTTTTCTACCCGACTAGTTGGCCGGAGAAGTTCGTTTTATTATTTATATTAGTTAATTTATCTACATGTTTTGAACTTTTTGGATTTTGTATACATTTTATGCTCTGGCTTCATAAGTGAACATGTGGTATGTCTATATCGAATAATATTTAATAGTTAGCACACTCGCTTGTGATGTTTTTATTCTCTGATCATAAATCATGTCGTAAAGGTTTATCACGTCCCATTTAGGATCGTATATAAAACAATTTCCACCAAGACGCTCAAATTTATTATCTTATAGAACATATATCAAGTTCATGATTCTCGAGTTTGTACGAACTCTCACCCAATTAATAAGAGTTCAAATTATTTGAAAAATATACTTGATTACCGGATAAATTATGTTTATCCCAATTGAAATTTGACACTTTGTATCCCTTAAAATGATTAAATTCTCTAAACCTCGCTCATTTTTATTGTTGATGTTCATGAAGTCTTTGTATAGCAACTTATTACAATTGCTAATATTTTAAGTTTGTACTAACCCACAACCCATGCATTTTGTCTAGATGTTCGTTTAGAATCTGAATCCAAGGATTGATAATAAAAAAAAAAAATATGAATCCAAAGATTCATATACACTGTCGAAGGTTCTCATCTTAACATGTTCCTTCAATGTATAACTTTTCAACTATTTAAATGTCCATTCGCTAAAATTTCTTTATATTTGGTTTTGTTCTAGAACAAAATTTTCATTACTTAATATTAATAATTGGTAAAGTGTGTATACCAACAAATATTTCAGGTGCATTCAAAATTATGTATTCCTTGAATAATTAACTTATAATTTTTTAACAAAATATTTTGTAGCAAAATTTTAAAGTGCATACAAACATTGTGGCTTTTCACGTGTATTTAAATTATTGGATGTATTATAGACACATCTATTGTTAATATCTAAACATATATATACAGAGATTTTATTTTACTTTCAACACTAATTAATACCTTTGAACTCAGCTCCTTGGGTGGAATATGATATCAATTTTTTTATTATTGCCAAAATTTGGTATGAAATTACAGACTCACAACTATATAGACTTGTTACAATTTTCTTACTAAACTCATATTTATTAAATATTCTTCTTTTGACCCAATAGCTCGGTTTACACTATTGTAATTATAAATGTTTTTTGTTATATATGTGAAGTAAAACATTAATGTTTATTTATTACCTCAATCTTCGAATTTAGATTTTTCTTAGCATCAAATGTGATGTTTATCATACATCCTTAACAAAGATTTCTCTAAATTTCACACATTTCATTTTTCAAGTGATCTCATGTCTCATCCTAGAATATGAAGTCAAAGTTCATCAACTATTATACTCAAGTTATTATGGAAACTTCAATTTATAATCTTTAACAATAAATAACTCCAAGTCTGAAAAGAAAATTTCTTAGCATATGATTTAAGACCTCAATAGAGCTTGCTCCATCAAAATTACCTAGAGAAAATATTAGTAATGTGAACTTAGGATACATTATAAATACTTCACATGCGATGTTTTTACTTGATCAGAATGAATAAGAAGCTTTTTTAATAAATAACTATTATTTCTTGGACAAGTTTCTTTCAGACCTCATCGACAAGATATTATTATTTTTGTGTGTTTGTTTAAATTATTCATTAAAAAGTAAATTATTATTAAGTTTTAGTAAAAATGAGCAGAAATTTACATGGTAATCTTTAATCATATATTTTTTGGTTTAAAAAGTGTGATATATATGTCACTCTACAAACATTAGTATACTGTTGCGTACATCGATATAATACAAAACCAAAATATGATATATGTCACTCTCCATCATGATTGTCACGTCGGCCGGCATGCCACCGGTTGAACCATTCAACCGGTACCGGTCATGAAATTGACATGACACCATCGGTATGACCGGTGATCGTTTTACGAATTTCTAAGTAAATTACGTAGTTTTAGTGAATTTAAGTATGAGTATATGCAATTTTATTTGAAATATCATATTTTATTCAAATATCAATATGAATTGTACGTAAATTGTATTCAAATATGGTTTATATATGATTAAATTCATTTGATATTAATAATTTTTTGGGTGCGCCTACGGTGACATGCATGTCACGGTGACTTGCACTTTTCGGCAGGGGCGGAGCTAGGTGGAGCCTCGGAGGGGCCCCGGCCCCCTCGAGAATTTTGAAACTACGTACAAAATCTCTTTGGATTGTGAAAAATTACGTATAAAATAGATGTTAGAATATTAATTGTGTGCGCAATAATCTGACAAGAAACTAAGGTTCGGATGAGTGGTAGAAGAGTTGATCTTTTAGATTGAGTACATGGGTTCGAATCTTGCCTATAGCGAATTAGTGCCCATTTTTGCCATTTTCAAGTTGTGAGCATTCTCACCTAAACTACAGCAACTTAAGTGTTATTTTGCTATTTCCATATTGAAATAAGCCAATAAATTGTTTGAAAATGATAAAAATGAGCTACATATTGAAATACATGATTAATTTTTTTCGTAATTTAATAATTTGTTTTGACCATATCACATAGTAAATAATTATCTCAATTCTTGTTTTGTTATGATAATAAAAATTCTATAAACTTTTTTTATCATGGTAAACTAAACAACTTCGCCCCCCCCCCCCCCCCCCCGAGATTCAAATCCTAGCTCCGCCCCTGCTTTTCGGTCGACCTCAATTAGGATTAGGTCGACCTCATTGAGGATTAGGTCGACCTAATCTGTTGTTTCAGTGTAAAAACAATTTATGGTGCCTACTTTGGAGATTCATATCATACAATTGGCTAGATGAAAATTGGAGATTAATGGCTTGTTTTGAAGCTAGAGTGTCCCTCTACATATTGAAGTGATTAAGAGCTCGATAGGAAGTCTAGAAGACCATTTTTGAACCTGATCAAAAGGCTATGCCAAAACTGGGAAACTGCCTGAAAATGGCTAAGTCTGGTAACGTGTTTGTGAAGTCTACTTTGGAGCTCAATTTGAGAAGCATGGATGCGATTCGAGTCCATGGGTCTCTACCACGTTAAATTAGGCATGTTTTTCTACAAAGTAAAGGCATTGGATGAAAGATTGGATATCTTTAAGGCTTCAAACAAAAGGCTCGAAGTTGCTACAAAGGCTGTTTTTCTGGCAGCTTGCTTGTGCTCGAAGTCTGCCAGAAAAACAGCCTTCGTAGCAACTTCGAGCATTTTGTTTGAAGCCTTACCGATATCCAATCGTTCATCTAGTGCCCTGAATTTGTATAAAAACATACCTAATTTAACGTGATAGAGACCCGTGGACTCGACTCGCATTCATGCTTCTCGATTTGAGCTCAAAAGTATGCTTCACAAACACGTTTCCAGACTTAGCCATTTTCAGGCAGTTTCCCAGTTTTGGCATAGCCTTTTGATCAGGTTCAAAAATGGTATTCTAAACATCTTATCGAGCTCCCAAGTAGTTTAATGTGTAGAGGGACACTTCAGCTTCAAAACAAGCCATTAATATCCAATTTTCATTTAGCCAATTGTAAGATATGAATCTCCAAAGTAGGCACCATGAAACTGTTTTTACACTGAAACAACAGATTAGGTCGACCTAATTCTATATGAGGTCGACCGAAAAGTGCATGTCACCGTAGCAAAGTCCTAATTTTTTATATTTCTACATATTTTATTAACCGGCATGAAACGACACAAACCGGTTGTACCACTAGTAAAACCATTTCACTTGCTAAACCGGTTTGATAACCTTCTCTGCATATATTATTTATAGATATAATGCAAAACAAAAGCAAAATAATTATTGAATAAAAGAGAATTAAATATTAAATGAAAAGAGAGGGACAACTCCATAAATAGGTCAGTAACTATTTTTTGGTAAAAAAATTGTCCACCTTGGGAACTTGAGATCTCTCCAAGTGCTTATGTGGCAAAAATTTAATTTTGAATTGCCATAATATTATGTATAGATAGATAGATAGATAGATAGATAGATAGATAGATAGATAGATAGATTACAACTATGTTTTAGACTCACTCAATTTAACACTTAGTTCATCCATATTGGTAAACCATTATAATTATATCGGGTTAATTGCATGGTTGGTCACTGAGATTACAAAAAACGTTCAAGTTTGGTCACTCGAAATATTTAAACCCATTGGTGATACTTCAGTTTACCGAAACCGTTCACGTTTGGTCACTCTCCATCCAACTCCGTTAACTTTGGCTGATGTGGCAGTCAACTCTTAAAGTTGAACGTTAACTTAGTGACGTGGCAATTAAAAAATAATAAATAAAATAAATTTAATTTATTTTAGTATCCAACTCATTTTTACCATAATAAAATAAATAAAAAAGAAATAAAAATTATAATCACTAATTATTATCAAATTAAAAGTGGCAACCGACACCACTTCCCTTCCCCGCAATCACTTCTTCTCCGCTCGGGGTTGCCGCCGACCGTCAGAGTACTCGATCATCTTCCCTCTCGGCCCCTTCCCGCCGCGAGTACTCGATCATCTTCTCGTGGAGATCGTCCATCATCGCGAACACCATTGAGTTCAATCACCCATCTTCGCAGACAGAAAACAAGGCAGAAAATCAACGTACTATTCTTTCAATCGAGAGCGCAAAAATGGAAAGAAAAAAAAGTTGAGAAATGAGAAGACAGGTGCAAAAATCCCCAAAAAAGGAGAACCTCTGGAGGTTATCAGTGACTCTGTGCTTGAATCCCGCCGGTGGATTGCGCTGCCACTCGGCGAGCTCCTTCTGCAGTCGGCTACAGGCGATCCTGCTTAAAGCCTACGCCAATTTTCACAACCACAAACAAAATTGGTCTCGTTAACCAAAACGAAAAGGAGAGAAATCGGGGAAAAGGGGAAGGAGGCGACGGAGAAAAACCTTGCGCGACGGAGCAGCCGAACTGGTCATGGTGTGGTTGGGGCGGAGGAAAACTGTAGGTTTTGGTTAACCGCCGAGGGGGAGAAGAAGGGATGTTGAGTCGGTTGCAACTTTTAATTTGATAATAATCAGTAATTATAATTTTTTATTTCTTTTTTATTTATTTTATTATGGTAAAAATGAGTTGGATATTAAAATAAATTAAATTTATTTTATTTATTATTTTTTAATTGCCACGTCACTAAGTTAATGGTCAACTTTAAGAGTTGACTGCCACATCAATCAAAGTTAACGGAGTTGGACGGAGAGTGACCAAACGTGAACGGTTTAAGTAAACTGAAGTGTCACCAATGGATTTAAATATTTCAAGTGATCAAACTTGAACATTTTTTTGTAATCTCAGTGACCAACCATGCAATTAACCCTAATTATATCTTGGACCTCAAATATGGTTCATCTTAAACTTCATTTTAAATTGATTCAAAGAAAGTTTATAGATTATATGCAAATCTTTATACATAATTGTACGGGGTGGTGCAAGTGGCTTTTTCCTTGTACCAGATAATGGTTGTTTTATATGACATGTCATTCATATAGTTTTGATGTGGGTTTTTTGCGTACCAGATAATGGTTGGTTTTTATATGACAAGTTACATCTATATAGTTTTGGTTACAAGGTTACGATTTTAAAACCGTGGCTCGGGATGGTATATATTGAAACCAACCCTAACCTATTGTCTAAAGCGACTCCCTTAAGACATCCAATTTGCTTAGATGGAGAAGAATGAGGGATAAGGGTAAGATCATTTGTTTTTTCATAGGGTGGATTAGAGTTCCGGTCAGGTCGGGTTGGTTGGTTAAATTTTATGGTTAGATGAATTATTTATCAATATTTTTGTGATATGGAATGTTGATTAGGTAAAGTTAACATAATTTTGGATGAAAATAGACAATGTCCATTTTATTATTCGTCTAAATGTATTTTACCGAAACGTGCAAAATTAAAAATTGGTGACGATTTTATACTAATAATAAGTTATGTAAGCATTTATGATAACTCATAATTAGTCTATTTCCCCTATTATAAAAAAAATATATATATTTCCCCTTGAATAAAATAAGAATAAACGTGACTAATTCTTAGAAAATGGTTTGTTTATGGCATTCCTTTTTCGATCCTGAGTTCATGAGATACGGGCCATTAGGAATGGCAACAAAACCCGAACTCACGGGTACTCACTCGGCCCAACCTGGTCAATGCGGGTAAAATCTGTGTTGATAGGTTTTGGACCGGGTTTGAGTTTAAACTCGTTCACTATCCATCGAGTTTGGTTGGGTTTGGGTTTAGGTGTACCCGACCCATGGGTACCCGCCCACACGCATATAATCAATTTTCCCGGTATATTAAATATTTTAAGCAATTAATCTTCTTTATGTTTGTGGAGACATATCTATTTTTTTCTTCTTCTAATTGTGTAGAATGAAGTTGATATTATCGAGTGTAGAGTGAAGAAACTTAATTGACGAGGAAGAAACTTCCAATTAATCATGTTGTTTATGTATAATTTTTTATTTGCTTCAATTTTCTTTACAGCCTGTTTGGATAGACAAAAAACTCAGGAATTGGAATTCCATTTTCAATTCTAGTTCCAAATTTTATGTTTGGAAGGATAAGAAGGTTGAGAAATTAATTTCATTTGGGCTAAGTTTTGGGAATTACAATTCATATCAAAAGTGATAGGAATTGGGTTTATGATGATGGAATTAGTGGGTCTCATCACTATTTATTATTACTAGCGCAGAGTCCGGCCCGTTGGCCGGAAAGTTGTTATTGACATGCTTTCTTTTTCTCTTTTTAGTTTTGTGTTTTTTTATGGCGCCTAAAGTCAGTGAGATGGAACAACAGTGATGATATATAATTTGCTAAATAAAGTGCAACTAATGAGCTTGTTCGATTGTTTAGTGGTCATAGTTTGAATTATTAGTCAATTAAAATTCGTGAAGCAGTTTAGGGGATGCTCTAAATTAGCAGGGAACACCTACCAGATAAAAGCCTCCTATAAATTTGTAGACAATTGATATCTTGTAATCATCGTAGTGTGGGATCACTTGCTCCTTTCTCTTCATATTTGGTTGTGGAGTTGCAGCAAATTTGCAAGTTCACTTATATATTTTGCCTGATAAATGAGTAGATATCTATGATGCCTCAATGCCACAACTAATAAAATGGGAGGAGTTGTCTTTATGTAGAGGGAGTAGTCGTTTCCCGAGACAGATAAAGCAAAAGAAAATTAGTAACACAGGTCGAAAGCAAAGTTATAGAAGCATGAAGACAATAATATCGTGACTCATATTCGCTTGGCCGCATATATATCCAACAAACCTCCATTCCCTCGATAATCTATATAATTGGCATATAAAAAAAGCCTAGAGTTTAAGATTTTGTACCCTCGCTGAAACTCCATAGCTATGGTGGATTCGAATTCAAACGGTGTAAATAAATCATGATGCACAACAACAATCGAAATGAAGTCTTATTGAGCTCATCAATCAAAGCACGTAGCTCAGGTTATTGAAACATTATCCTACCTAGAGGTGGAAATTCTCAATTCAATCCATCCATCCATCCATCCATCCAATAAAAATATCCAACTAATCCAATCCATTTGATCCAAATCCAATTGGATTGGTGGATTCATGGATTGGATCCATGAATCATTTGGCAAATTACAGTTTAGTACATATAATTTTTATTTTTTATATTTTGATACCTAAAATTTAGTTTTTATACGAAAATATCATTGGAAAATTACATTTTGGTACCTAAATTTTTTTATTATGACAATTTAGTTCCTAAACTTTTCGCATTTTACATATTGTTCATTGGTTGAAGATGTCATTTGGATTCATAAATAATCCACCAATCCACTTGATCTAATCCATGAATCCACCAATTCGTTGGATCCAATCCATTTGATCCATAGATCCACCAATCCAATCCACCAATTCAATCCATTTGCCACCTCTAATCCTACCAATATAAATATAAGGGGATTTAACAACTTCTAGCTATAATACTTTGCATAACCACTCAAAAGTCAAGTGTTCCTCCTTTTCTTCTTCTAATAATTGTGTAGAATGAAGTTGATATTATCGAGTGTAGAGTGAAGAAACTTAATTGACGAGGAAGAAACTTCCAATTAATCATGTTGTTTATGTATAATTTTTTATTTGCTTCAATTTTCTTTACAGCCTGTTCGGATAGACAAAAAACTCAGGAATTGGAATTCCATTTTCAATTCTAGTTCCAAATTTTATGTTTGGAAGGATAAGAAGGTTGAGAAATTAATTTCATTTGGGCTAAGTTTTGGGAATTACAATTCATATCAAAAGTGATAGGAATTGGGTTTATGATGATGGAATTAGTGGGTCTCATCACTATTTATTATTATTTTATTAACCAACTATCACCCTACTCTCTTTCTCTATCATTCATAATCCATTTTCCAAGATAAAACAAATATATTACATTATTAATTATTGTTAAAAGAACAATTCATTTCTATAGTTGAAGGAATTATACCAAACACTGAAATTGAAAATGGAATTCTATAAAAATAGGAAATGGAAATAGAATTCCATTTTCATTTATTCCTGAATTGTATACAAACAGGCTGTTAGTTTTTTAGATTGGTGTTGAACAATTTGTATGGTTTATTTGGAAATTGCTTGAATTTTCTAAAATGGTGTTTTATATATGGATTATTTGTATTGAGAGATTGATATTTGACTTTTATTTTGATAAAAACTTGTTATTGTAAATTTTTTACGACAAACCCATGGGTACCCATGAACCCGCGGATACCCAGCGGGTTGGGTTTGAGTTTTCCAAATCCAATGGGTTTTACCCCGAATTGTTTTCACGGATAAACTCATGAGTTTATGTTTGGATTTTACAAAACCCGACCCAACCCGACCCATTGTCATCCCTATGGGCCATATGGCCCATGTGATGTTCTTTCTGGTAAGTGAAGAGTGAAGACTGAAGAGGACGATGTATTTCTTCATTATTTCTGCTTTGGCGTTTCTGATGACTGATGGAATGGACCGCATGCGCCGGTAGATGCGGCCCAGGTGATGAGAGGAAAGCGATGCTATGGGCCATAGTTCACCTGAGGAACTTGGCAGACCATAATGGCGAAACAAAACAAGACCTTACAGTCCCTACTTCAATGACTCACCTACTCTCTGGTTGTGGCTATTAGCAATTTGGTGTCTCGTCAAACACTCAAACTACTGTGTTCGATTAGCCACTCACGTGTTTATAACCGTTAGATTAACACGTAAATAAGAAGCGGAATTTGTTCGATCTAACAGCTAAACCGCACGGATTGGTTTGATATAATTAGAATGCACGGGGTAAGCATCAGATGACATTGTTTACCCCGCAACATGTTTGGATACAAGTGATGGATGGCGATATCCTTAGGGATGGTTCTGACTTCTGTGAGTGTAGACAATTGCAGCTGCGATATTGAAAGAGCCCAAAGTCTCAGGTGTTAAGTCATTGATTTATCGAACTAGGTGTTACCATATGCCAACAAGCCACGTCACATCGCATTGGATGTGGGAAATGAAAGCAAATTAATTATACAAGTTATATAGAGTGGATTACACATTCTCAACCCACATTGTTGACTAACAAATCAAAGTCTCAAACATTCCAAAACTCCCAAGGAATTCAACACATGGATGATGAGTAATACATTAGTCAAAAAGAAAAAGGACTTTGCAGGCTTATACAAGAAATTGCAACTGCTATAAAGTCCTCATCAAAATATAAGTAGATAGATAAACTCGTGTAGCCACTAAAATCGGCTACAACTTGAGGTAAATGAGACAAACTCAAGTCTTGGTTTGTCCATGGAAATGGGGAAAACGAAAAATCTAGTCACATAGCCCGAGAACATGATTGACGAACCATGACCCGACAAAGGGAACCATGTACAAAATGATCACCAATGGCTGCTAATAGATGCACAAAAAAACATACAGCTCTTTGATGATCAAGGGTGTCTACCTTTGTTGAGTAATTCATCAATCATGGCCATGACGGTTGCTATTATCTATGATAATAATTATTAGTTATG